CCTTCCCCTCGCCCGGTCACCGCTGTTGCCCGCGGTCACCGCCTGCCCTCTCCCATGCCGCTGCTTCCTTTTCCGAAGGCGGGGCTTCCGGGCGCGAGGGAGGGGGAGCGCTGAGTGACTAGCCGGGACTTCCGGTAATCGCGCGGATCAGGTCTCGGCCTCTTGGCGTATCCAGCCACTGGCCCATTTAGTCACTCCTTGAAGAAGCGGTATGTTATTCAGTGAGGCTGACTGCCACTGAGCCTCAAAGCGGCTGGGAGGTTACTTTAGAGTAACTTTTGAATTTCTGTTTTTAAAATAGGATCCCCTTAGTTTCAATTACAGGAGTGACTCCAGAAACATCGGTAGTTGTTCGGCGCTGCGGCTGACCCTTTGTTGTTGTTGTTATTTGCCGTCGAGTGGGCCCCGACTCATAGCGACCCCTCCTTGGGTTTCCGAGGCAGTATCACTGCAGAAGTAGGATTGCCCAACCTTCCCCTAGACGTCCCAAATCGCACAAGACAGGGTCCTGGCCCCCAAGGACTTCTTAGCTGGATATGTGGACTCGGATGGAAAAAAAGTACGTTTTTGTTTTCGCTTACCTCGCTTGGAAATTTAGCATTTTCTTCCATTAGGAATGTAGGCAACAAACCCCAATAGTGTTAGCTCTGTAGCATCAGTAGAAATCCCAGATGTAAATAATACCATGTGTGGTGGTTGTGTCTGTGTCAAAATAGCCTTCATCATTATTTAGAAATTAAAGTAATTGGACCTTGTTAGAGGAGCTCTGGTAGCATAGTGCCGAAGGCACTTGACTGCTAACCAGAAGGCTGGCGGTTCAAACCCACCAGGCACTCCTCGGAAGGAAGGTTGGGCAATCCTACTTCCGTAGTGATACTGCCTCGGAAACCCAAGGAGGGGTCGCTATGAGTCGGGCCGACTTGATGGCATATAACAACAACAGAGGAGCTCTGGTGGCCTAGTGCCTAAGGCATTTGACTGCTAACCAGAAGGCTGGCGGTTCAAACCCACTAGCCACTCCTTGGAAGGAAGATTGGGCAATCTACTTCCGTACTGATACCGCCTGGGAAACCTAAGGAACGGTGGCTATGAGTCGGATCCAACTAGATGGCAGTGAGTTTGGTTTTTGGTTTATCCCTATGGAAGTAGATAGCACAATCTTCTGAGGAGTGGGTGGTGGGCTTGAACTGCCAGCCTTCTGGTTAGCAGCTTCTGCCTCTAGAAGGGCTCATTTTAAGCCTAGAGAAATAACAAAACTAACCAATCCCCACATTAGAGTTCCATATACCTTATTTGAATGGTCCCATCCCCACAAGGGTGCCAGGTACCTATTTACATTACTAACAAGCTACCCAATCCCCTTGGTGGGCCACAAGCACTTTATATTTACATAGTTCCAACCAGTAATCTGGTGAGAGTCACAAAAACCATGGCGAGAAGAGCCACACTAAGTAACTCACTACACCATACCAGTCAACTACTAATCAAGTATTAGAACGTCTTCCCATATAAGAAAGTGACGGAGCAGATTGGTGCTTTAGTTCAAGCTTCTTACGTCCGTTTGGCCTAGTAGCCAGCAGTTCATGGACTGCCGTCTTAATAGCACTGTCCTCTCTCACTTAGTCTGGGATCCAGTGTATAAATGGGCAGACACTGAAGGGAAAAAGGATGCGACGAATCCTGAACAGCACGGTGCACTCAGCAGTCATCATGGAGCATCTCTGATGTGCCAGGTACTGCGTTAAGTGCTGGGAATACAAAGGAGAAGAAACTGCGTCTGAGTCTGCCCATACCAGGTGGTGGTGTGCAAAGGACATCTCTCTCCAATCATGCCTAGAGCCCCTTGGTTGGCTCCCTGCTCTCACTGCCCGTGAACTTCCCAGTGTCACCTAATGCCCAGACTGATGAAAGCAAGTTCTTAGCACGTGGCCTGGGGACCCCCGTGTTCAGTGGAGTCCCCCAGGACTCACTGTGTCTGAAGGCAGAGGGCTTTCTCTCACTCTGGAACAAGTGCCATTCTCTCCACAGGGATTTGGTGCCAATTAAATCACAGATCGCCAGAGGTTGTCATTCTGTTTGACATTTTCAACACCATTGTAACAACTTCAGATGGGTATTTTATTGCTGATCAGTAAATCCTAATCTTTTTCATTTTTTAATCCTAGTCCAGAGCCTCTTCTCATCAATTTCTAAACAAATTAATTTTTATTTAGTATTCTTGAAATGTTCTTTGAGTATGGATAAACAACAACAACAACAACAACAACAAACAAAGACCAGTTGTCACTGAGTTCAACTCGTGGCAACACCTACAGAGTAGACATGCTCCATGGGGTTTTCTTGTCTGTAATCTGCAGAAACAGATTGCCAGGCCTTTCTTCTGCACTGCCTCTGAGTTTTGAGGTTCAAATCACCAACCTTTAAGTTACTAGTCAAGTACAAACCATTTGCACCACCCAGGGACCTTGATTATGGCTGGTTACCTTTTATTGTGGATCACTTCCAACTTCTCTGAACTCTAGTTCCATGCCTCCAGATGTACATAGGACAACACTCTTTGAAAAAGAGTTGCTCAAATTTATAGCTAAACCTGCCTGAGGCTGGACTCTCCTGAGTGCCTGCCCAGGGGGTGTGCATGGGCATTGGCAGTGCCTGCTCCAAGGCCAGTTCAGAGAACTGAGCACCATCCACCACTGATGCCAGCAGGGAGAAGCCCAATTGTATCCTGTGTTGGGGAATCCACCACCCATGAGGCTTGATGGGCGGCAGGGCCCTGCTCTCCTCTCCCCATCCAGGGTGCATTTGGCAATGTCTGGAGGCATTTTTTTAATTTTGTTTTTGAGAATATAAACAGCAAAACATACACCAATTCAATAGTTTCTGCATGTACAATTCAGTGGCATTGATGACATTCATTGAGTTGTGCAACCATTCTCACCCCGTTTTCTGACTTTTTCCTCCCACATGAATATGAATGAACTCCCTGCTCCCTAAGATTCCTATCTAAACTTTCCAGTTACTGTTGTCAATTTGATCCCACATAGATAGTTTTTTAAAAAAAATTTATTGTGATTTAGGTCAAAGTTTACAGAGCAAATTCATTTTCCATATAGTAGTTCATAAACATTACGTTTCATAATATTGACTGCAATTCCCCACAGTGTAACAGCTCTCTTTCCACTTCCTCCCTGTAGTTACCGTCTCCCTGTGTCCTTCCTTCCTACGCATTCCTGCACCCACCCCCAAGCTGTCTCCCTGGGCAAACACTGCTCTTCTGTTCTCCCATGATTGATTGCTTTAAAGAGTTTATCTTCCTGATGTAAATGTTCACCCTATATGCCTGTCTATTGTTTGGCTGGGAGCCACCGGAGTGAGTCCAGTTCCAGATCTGAAGGGTAACTAGAGGCCATAGTCTCAGGGGTCTTACCAGGCTTTATAAGACCAGTAAACCTGGTCTTTTTTATGATTGTGAGTGTTGTTCCACCTTGTTCTCCTACTCTATCCAGGATCTCCTGCACTGATCCCTTTCCGAGTGGTTGGCAGTGGTAGCCAGTCATAAAGGCTGAGGATGGCATGGTCTATTGGTTATAGAGATAGTTCTTAAAAGAGCATGATGCTCAAGGGAGACATTCTTCTCTAGTGAAGCTAAACTGCTGTTTGCTTTGAAGAAGACATCAGAGGATATTTTGGGTTTAAGGTTTAAAGATGATCTGAGGGTAGTAGTTTCAGGAGTTCACCCACCCTGCATGACACCAGGAAGTCTGCAATCCATGAGAATTTGAAAATCTGTTCTGCATTTTAAACATAGGATTCTTCTATGGAATCTTTGATCAAAATGTTCAGTAGTGGTAACCAGGGACTATCCAGTTCCTCAGATCTCATGGCAAAAGAGCCAGTTGTTCGTGGGTGCAATTAGCCATGCATTCCATTTCCTCCTCCTATTCCTGATTCTCCTTCTTCCTCTGTTGCTCTAGGTGAATAGAGACCAACTGTTGTGCCTTGAAGGAACTCTGGTGGTCTAGTGGTTAAGGCATTTGGCCCCTAACCAAAAGGTTGATGGTTTGAACCCATCGGTCAATCCAAAGAAGAAAGATGAAGCAGTCTGCTTCTATAAAGATTTACAGGCTTGGACACCCAATGGAGGGTCTCTATGAGTCAGAATCAACTCAATGGCAGTGAGTTTGGTTTTTAGCTTTGGTTTGGCTATACTTTGGATGACCACTTGGCAAGCTTTTAAGATCCCAGGCACTACACAATGAACTAGGAGGTAGAACAAAAGCAGTAAATACAGCATGAAGCCAAATAAATGGGATGT